CAGGCGGGCGAGGGCGCTGAGGGCGAGGGCGAGGGCGAGGGCGAGGGCGAGTGCGGGCCGGGAAGGCTGCCTGCGCCTCGCGGGGACCCAGGCTTTCCAGCCTGGACTGAGCTTTCCAGCCTGGACTGAGCTTTCTTTAGAGCAAGGTGGGCTTTCTGCGCCTCCCGCGGCGGGGAGGCTCGGAGGCTCGGAGTCCACGGAACGCTCCACAGAGGGGGTTTCCCCTGCTCTCTCGGGGAGAGGTACCTCCCTGGCTGCACCGTGTTTGGTTGTTAGGAAGATTAAACTGAATTAACGCATGGAAGGCGCCTCCACGGGCCTTGCCCGCAGTCAACACTCAGTAAACAGTTGTTGCTGTGGTTACCTCTTTAGGTGGTTCTGGATCGCGCCCTGAGCATGCCTTGCCACGCAGGGCCTGAACCAGCCTAGGCCACCTCCCCCGTGGCCCCCACGAGCCCCCTGCCTCTCTGTACAAGAGTGGGCAAATGCGGCTGCAAACCCCGGCACCCGAGCACCCCCACCCGCGCAGACTGTCCTTAGCCAGCATGGACATACAGACACCATTTCCAGTCATTGCGGCTGCAAGAAGAGAGCTTGCTTGACCAATTTAGGAAGCCAAGTTGGAAATGTGTGCCGATTGTGAAGGAGGCTGTTTCCTCGCCTTGCCTTTTAGCCATGTGACTGGGTGACTTCGACCCTGGTGTTGGCAAATCCTTCCCAGGCAGTTCTCTGGTAAACTTCAATTTCTTTCTCGAAAATCTTCTGCAGTCCAACTAGAGCCTGAACGCTGTCATTTCTGATTTGTCCTGCGAGGTTAATGACTGTTTATGTTAATAAAAATTCTAACTATATATATACATACATATACACACATGCATAGTAATAGTTTAACGTGTTACACCTAGGTTGCATATACACCATATCGTATATATGATAGGACATGCTGTCAATTATACACTATATGCATATACCATATGTTATATAGTATCAAATGAAAACTTCCTAGGGTTTACGGTAAGCCAAGCCCTGAATTCGACATTTTCTATCATTTTTTTTTTCATTTAGTTCTTACTTCAGCTTAATGCCCCAAACAAACAAAATCACCCCCCCCCCAAAAAAAAACCCTCAAGCTTGGAGAGTTAAATATTGGGTCATCAGAAAAGTCATGATGCATTTCTGCATAGAAAATCATGCCATGACTTTTTTTTTTTTTTTGCTACAGAGTGCATGCACTCGCCAGAAAGAGAGAGAGAGAGAGAGTGAGAGAGAGAGAAAGCGAGAAATCACCCCCCCCCATGGGGGATGGCCATACTGCAATCCCTTCTCTTCCATTCTCCTCTCAGGATCTTGGGCATGCACACATGCACACACGCCCAACGTGAGTTTAAGCCACTGGATCCAGGACTTGAACAGCGGGCGACTACATGGGAGTTCAGTGACATAGCCATTATGCTAACTGCTGGTCCCATGTCATGACTTTTCTGACCACCCAATAATTTGCCCATTGCCACAGACCTTTCTAGTGGCTCATGTCACAGTAGGCCCCCATTCCCTAACCTGGTCCTAATATAACACACATCCTAGCATGCTTTTCCTAAATAGGAGTATCAGAATATTGGAAGTATTTCTCAGATGGGCACGTCTCCAGGGAGGGTTGGATTGTGGTGACCACAGCGGTAGGTGTGGGTCCCCTGTGAAGCCAATGCACTCTGTGCAATGGTGGGGAAAGGGAAAAGCAGCCAGAAGAGAAGCTCCCTGTAATTCACCTCTGCGTGCTGGGCTTCAGGTCCCGTGCTTAGACACACTGCTCAGGGGTAACTCTCTGCTGTTGTGTCAGCTATTCTTTCTCCCCTTTTCATTCTTTTCCTTCTCTCTGGTCAGGTGTGTTCAAGAAGGAAAAATAAGGAACCAGTGGATGGTGTAGTGGTTACATCGCTGAACTCCACGGGGTCTACTGTAGTTCAAGTCCTGGACCCAGTGACTTGAAACTCATGCTGGGTACGTGCCCCAGATCTCGAGAGGAGAGTGGAGGAGAACGGATTGCCGCATGGCCAACCTCCGGGGTGGTGATTTCTCGCTTTCTCTCTATCTCGTGCATGCATCCTATAGCAAAAATCCCTTTCAAAAAAAAAAGAAAGGAAGAAACATGATCCCTGCTGTGCTGGGCTCTCCCTTCGATTTTTGTCATAGGTTGCTTTAGATAGAAAGTACAGGTAATCATTAGTCATGCCATGGGTACAACAAAATTCCTGTTTCAGAGGAATTGGTTTCTCATTTTCACGGTGAACATCTCCAGTCGTTTTGAGACTGGATGGCTGAGGAGAGCAAGCCGGGCTCTTTGAGCCATCACTGACTCTAATGCATGCCCATCCTTGGCAAGGTGCAGTTAAGTTCAAAATGACTGTTCTGAGCCAGCCCCAGAAACTCACTGTTCCTCGCTCGGCCTCATCCTTCATCACTACTCAGCCTCTGTGAGTCATCAGGACAGGGAGCCTGTCGGGAATTACTAATGAAAGCTCTCGAAGGGCCTCGTAAAGGCCTGCCATGATGACCGAGACAGGCCCAGGCCCTCTGTGTTGTTCTGGGAAATCTCACCAAGTCCTGGAATGGATAATTATAGTCCAGCCCTCACACCAAGCGTCTGCAGAAGACAACGTGTGTGTGCACGTGCACATGTACACACGTGTGTAACGAGGGTGGGGTGGAAGAGTCTGAAGGATGATGAGCTGGTTTCTCTACACTGGAAAATGCAAAAGGCTTTCAGATACATGGAATATAGCTTTGCACTTAAAACATGCCCAGTTTGGGCTAAACTGGGTGTGAATCCTGGATCTGAGATAGAACTGTTACTGCAGAGCAGTGCCCGGCACAGGGGACCTCTCGGCATGCCTGCACAGCAGGTCCTGGGTTTTCCAAACTGCATGCCAGGGAGGCAGTTCAGATGTCTCGATGATTATAGTTTTGGGTTCAGCGTAATAGTTGCCATTTTGACTCAGGAAACTGTATAATTGAAAAATGTCAAAGGAAGATTAGCAAAGAACTGCCAGTGAGTTCAAATCCCAGCTCGGGCCCAGCCTGGGTGGCACAGTGTGGAGAGGACTCAGCTGTAGTGCTGGAAGCCAGATGGTGTGCACGGGGTTCGATCCCTGGGGGGCTGGGGAAGGGGGTAGCAGGTGGTAAGACCCTGTAAAGCGTACTCTCCTTCTTTGCCTCCCTCATCTACATATGTTTTCATTAAAAAAACTGCCACTCAGCAGCCAGATAACTCTGGGACAATCGACTTATCTCTCTGCGCTTCAGTTATCTCATCTCAGAAATGATGATAGTGGCACGGCCACTCCACAGGGTTTTTCTGAGGATGATGAAGCACGAGAAGTCCCTGGCGTCAAAG